CTGACAGTTTCATGCAGCTTCGGGAGTATGGAATACACTATGCATGGGGGTGGCAAAGCATACCGAATCGAAGTAGCACTTTCCCTTCTGGTTCAGGTGAACACTGACCTAGGGCTCGTATGTGCAAATTCACAGTGAATTTTAGATCAAGCACCAAAAATCTTTGGGCACTACCACTGAGATTTGGCGAGATCACAAGCGAAACATTCTCTGAACTGTGAAAATATTTAGTAGAGTAAAAATAAGAAACTTATATTTAAACAGTTACTTCCTGCGCAAATGTTGGCACACACATGACAAATATATCTCGAAGAATATCCAAGCTTATGATCATCTATATTTCATGCATATCACTCGAAGAAATGCTGAGAAGACTGAATCTATTTTTGGAATCTCCCAGCATGCAGATCGGGAATATTTAGGAGTTGACTACACCTATTAACTATTTATTTTATTTTTATTTATTTTTATTTCTGGAACACAAACCAGGCATTTTTACAGGCATGAACATATGTACACTAATTAGAACTTATAGAATATATATGATTTGTTAATCTAGAAATAGATTGAATACTGGTAAATTTGAGAGAAATGTTTAAAAAGAAACGTGCAAATAAGGGAATAGGTAATTTTCGAGATATGCTTTCAACTGAATAATTCATGAGATATAGCATCAAATCAAAACTGTAATTGAAAAATAACTTATGTCAACTTCACGCGGGAATTATAAACGATTACGTTAATTGTGGAAGGTAAGTAGCATTTCTGTACAGGTGCTGAAATATAAGAGATGCGGAATGAACAGTAATTGTAAGTAAATAATTCATAGAGTGTTTAAAAGTCCATAAAACTTCAAAGTCACCGGTAAGTACACCATAATTTTGACATGTCCAGCCGTATATGAGACCAACTTTGAACTTGTCAGCAGATTTCATGATAGAGGTGGTTCCGTTATTCACCAGGTGGGCTAGCAATATTCCGAATTAGTTGAGGATAGTGGCACTGTTTCAGTGCCTTCGTTTAAGGCAGTACCTTCGAAAAGAGAAGAAGACACAAGAAAACCGCCAGAGAGGTGCAGAAGTATATAATAGGTCTTAATAATTCAAAACATATATAACAAACATGGGGTTCATCATTTTTTTGTTTTTTTTCACTAAAAAAATACTATTTCCCCTGAGGTTTTAGTGATAGAATTCTAGTCGTTTTTGCGAAAAGAAAAAAGTTTAAGTGAAAAAAGATGATAATTTTACCTGCTTATATAGGTTGAATAGGAGTTAAACATAAAAGTCAAAGTGCGTGAACTATGTAGAAGAAAAGCGAGGGCTTAATAATAACTACTGTTTTTCTGAAGTATACATTTAGGTGTCCTTCTGAAGTAGGGGACTCATACCATATACTTGCATTCGGGGTGTTTGTTATTTAAACTTCAGCTTTAGGCAAATTTTCAACTTCCGTTTTTTTTAAAAATTTTATTTATTCTCTTATTTTGCAGAAGCCATTCGAACTCAGGAGCCTTAGCAATAGAGTGCTGTCCCACAGATAGGGGTGGTTCTCATATGTCCCCACCATCATATCCGCCGACTAGCAATCACCACCCTCCCACCTTTTTTGTACAAGGCCCTGGCAAAATGCTTCATTTTTTGTTATATATCTTTTAATTTCTGTTATAATATGCCACAAACTTTTTTTAAAATATTCATTTGTCAACTCGTTTGAAGTCATGGCATGAGTGACTACTTTCAGAAGACCGTCATGTATGTTTCATCTGTTACAGCATTTTGGAGAGGAACAATAATAAAAGTATAAGGAAAATAGACTACCAGGGTCTACATTTTAGATATAAACAAATGTAATTTCGGAAAACAGTGCATAATCGTGCAGCATTAAACATATAAGTAGTAGTGAGTTATAATATTTTGTTCCGAAAGATTTGACTACACAAGATTATAGTATAGAACAGTAAGATAGGATTCATTACTATTTAGGACTCACCGTATAGTTGATTATTTAGACTACCAACATTCAGGCCTTAATTTGCGTAGAGGCAGACAGTGCTAACACGTAGCATTAGGCAGTCTCCAGAGACACTTTAATACCAGTTGTCTTCAGTTGATTTGCATCTGAGACTGAACTCTTAGCATGCTGAAATACTCATAATACCATGTTATCAGTGATATATGCAAAAAAATTGTTTAAAATATTCGAATGAAGAAATAATTAAAATTTAAGGCTGATTGAGAATAGATGACTGGGGTTGTGAAAACAATCATAGTGAAAGTAGAGTCTAACATAGAGATCACAGATTTCGGGAGCTAACAGTGAGGGTCAGAGGAGTGCCGTATTAGATCTCTGATTTTTAGTCTGTCACATACGCCTTCTAACCCGGTGTTGATAAAATATTTGTTCAGCAGAGATGAGAAGGTTTTTGGGGTAGGACTCTTTCTGATTTCAGTTGGAAGACGGTTCCAAATACAGCGGTATCTGACAGTGAAAGAATTTGATCTGTACTTTGTATGACAGCGGGGCACTTCAAAAGAGGAAGATTTATTTCTGAGGTTATATTTCTTAGGTGAACTAAAAGTAAAGTCATTGTGGGAGAAATATATAAGCCCTTTAGCAATCCTAAATGTAATTTTTAGGTTGAACTTCAGTCGTCTGACCCATAAGGGTTCCAAGTCAAATATGTCACATCTGTCGTAGTAGGAAATGCAAAGATTTTTACCTACTAGACGTTGAGTAGACGCCCTTTGTAGGCTTTCCAATTTGCACCCGTCTTTTACGGAAACACTGTCCATGACAGGAGGACAAAATTCAAGTAAGGGCCTTATGCATAACTTGTACAGCATAATTTTGGATTCACACGCTTTAAAGTTTCGGAATAAAAACCCGAAAAGCCTTTTAACCTTTGATACTTGTAATTTAACGTATTCCGTTAGGCTAAATTCTGGAGTGTATTTTAGACCCAAGTCTGTTGTAAGCGGCAGACGAGGAATATGATTGTTGTGTAGGGAGATGGAAAGTTCGGATGAAATGCCTTTGGAGCATAGCACACCACATTTTTCAACGTTAAACTTCATTTTCCACGTGTTACACCACAATTGAACCCTATCAATATTATCCTGAATCCTATCAAATACACATGACACTTCATTTCTGAGTGAGTGGTATACTATTTTGATGTCATCAGCAAATAGGAAAGGTCTGCCATGTCTAATAACGTCGCAAATATCATTGAAATATAACAGGAATAAAAGTGGACCTAGAACACTACCTTGTATGACTCCACTTGTTATCCAAACGGGGTTGGATGTGTGGGAACCTAACCTAACCATTTTCATCCGATTGCTTAGGAATGAACTGAGCCGGCTTAACAAAGAACCTTGGATCCCATAAGACTGGACTTTTGATATTAACAGTCGGTGGCTTACTGTGTCAAAGGCTTTACTAAGATCTAAGTACACTTAGCTGTGATCATACTGGAATCTTTCAGTTGTGAGATGTGATCGAAAAATTGTGAGTGGCATGTAGTGCAAGAACGTGACTTCATGAAACCATGTTGATAAGGAGTGATAAGTTTCTCTTGAGAGAGGAAGTCAAAAATGGCACTTTTCACGATCTTTTCCAGAACCCTTGAAATAACAGAAGTTAGGTTAATGGGTCTGTAACTCATGACACTTGAACGGGAGCCTGACTTATACCTAGGGGTAATGTGAGTGGTTTTCCACGCATCTGGATATGTTCCAGTTGATAGAGAGATAGAGAACAATTTAAGAAAGAGAATAGGGATGTCTTCACCACCGTATTTTAAAAAGGTTGAGGGAATCATATCAGGACCAGGGTTGTTTGAACTTTTAAGGGACGTGATTGCTTTCTTAATATTATCCAAAGAAAAGCTGATAGTCTCTAAAGTTTTTTGTGAACGTACATGGAATAGAGGTTGTGGCGAACTATTATCATCATAGGCATATGACCGAGAGAAGTAGGAGTTTAGAAGCTCACAAATTATCTTAGGGTCAGTAGCAGTCTCATCATTTTCTAAGATGAATTGTATATCTGTCTTACGAGAGTTTAACCTTTTGCGATAAAGCTTACAGATTGCAGTGTATTTAGAGCTATCTTTAAGGGCTGCATTTTCTTGTCTGAGTAGAACTTTGTCGTTATTTTCTTTCAATCTGAGATAAATGTTCTGTATATTTGCAAGACACGAGAAGTCATTTTCTTTGTGATACTGTCGGTGCAGCTTTCTCAGCAATGCTGAAACACACAAGAAGGCACAGAACGAACATACAGAACCGACAGATGAACCACATCGTCTTCCATTAAGTGTTTAGTCACGAACTCTTGGAACTAACTGACAAGTGGGACGTTTACATTTTCAACCAACTCATTCATTAGAGAAAGCGATGGGCTAAAATACTCAGTGAAATTGAATTAATAGGCCAAAATTTCTTAATTCAATCGAATTCCTGAAAACCGTAATCAACTGCAAGCATCCAAGTGGTCTATCCCATTAAAATACACTACTAATAGGTGTATATCTAAATTCTTCCTTCACCACTGCTCATTCTCCCTTGTATTACTCTTCTGACTAATTAATTCATTCATTTATTTATTCTGTTATTGCTTCAACAAATTCCACTATATGTGTTTACTCTATTTTAGGCCTGTGCAATCTTGCTATTATTACCACTGTTAATATCTGTATCTTCGACCACACCGGATGGCTAATTGGTGAAAAGCTCAACCTGATTCACAGCAGCCAAACAGTCTTAACACACCGCATACCACAAGCCACACATAACGAATCCCCGCATCACTCCCTATGTAGTCAACCAAAACTACGACAGCCGAGTTGCGGGACACACTGCTCAGAAGTTTACTGGAGATTAGGAGCCAGTGCCTCACAGTCAAGAAGCAAACACAAAGAAATAAAATTGGTTTGCATTAGCTCATAAAGAGCGATATTGGATATTGGACATGTCCTTGAGTGAAAGATAATCTTTTGATTTGTCAAGGTCGCACACCCATGAGTTGGGATTCACTTCGCCTACCGGAATATATCCTTAAGGCATTAAAGGATGCTGGCTTGCATACTCCCACACCCATACAACTAAAAGCTATCCCACCTGCTTTGAACAATACCTGTGATATTTTGGGTTCAGCACCCACAGTAAGCAAACTACTCGTCATTATTCATAATGCTTTATTTTAGGGTAGTGGGAAGACGTTAGCATTTGGAATTCCCTTGATAACTCGAATATATTCGTTAAAATGCTCAGAGGTGAGTCGTAAGAGTGTGACACGTACGAGTTTCATTAAAAATTGAATTATAGTTTTGTTTTCCTATTCACATTCACATTTTGGCTATTGTAATTTATCCTCACCCTATATAGTTCCACTTACGTTGTAGGCAAATACTTCACCAGTTTTTTCATGCAAAATCAGTGGAATTATAGAAAATCCTCCTCAAACTCATTGAGTTTCTGCTAGTTATTTTATATTTTTCACCGGCATAATATTTGTAGGAATGGTGTTTATATCTTCGATTGTCTCCCACCTCCTCACTTCCTTAACTATAATTGAGTATCTCAACAGTGTCCTGACAGGTAATGGCATGAAGAATTGGTATTAATTCAACTGTTGAGTTGTAGATTACTGCATATCTATTTTCATTGTTGGTAATTTGCCTAATTATTATATGTTTCCTCTGTTGAAATAAAAATGAAACATGCAAAGGACTACATTCTGTTCAGTTAGATCTTTAGTCTTTACTGTAAGGTTCATTGATTTATTTCTGAAACTTTTATCAACGACTGGGACTTTCTGGATCATATAATAAGTGTTAAATGTTGGTAATGACCACATCTATTATATTAGCAATCACAATGATTATATGTCCAATGACAAAACAATTACAAGCTGCTGAAGCAGGTAGTGATATGAATAAGAAAAGAGTATAGTAATGTTAGCAATTCAATAATTAATTGAAGTTGTGCAACACTAAAGATGAGGCGGAAAGACAATCAGAGTTTAAGTAAAAATGTCATAAAAATACGGAAGTGAAGAAGTAGAAAGGGTGGAAAGGTTCCATTAGTTTGCTATACTTACCTAAGCCAAGGGAGAGAAAAAGGTACAGCAGACGTCTTTGGTATATAAAGATTAGGATTGTTCCCTTGAATTGTTACTGCCTCGGCTATGTATAAAAGGCTGCTTCGAATTCCACCCGAAAAGTACGATGAAATGCGAATAACGACTTTCAAAGCGCCTCCGTCTATTTCCTTACTGCTATCAACCAAATGACAAAGTAGAACTTTTCATATATCATGTTTAATCTTTTCCGAACCATGAAGGAAGATACTCAGTAATGCGTTTGGTGAGCTGTCTAGTTTTTCGCCCTATATAACAGGAACAGCCTAATTTATAAGCGCACATAAAAGTGGCACAGCCAGGCAGTTTATCTTTCGCCTGAACAATCTTAATTGGTCGTCTGGAAAAGGATAAACTAAGTGTGGCGGCAGTGTAGGTCCGTTTTATTATTCTAGATAATCTTAGATGTAGGACTTCACTAGCTACGTCCCCATTGAGTTACAGTATCAGAAACAGTTGTTTATTTTTAACCATTTTCGGTTTCTCTTTATTATACTTTGTGTCCGTGTGTCTCCTTGGAAACTTAGTAGGATAACTAGTTTGGACGAGCGTATTTTGGATGTATCCTAATTCATTTTCTAGGCGGTTATCGGTACAGATCCTTGCTTTATTCGTGAGACATCTGACCAATTTGATTTTGTTTTAGATTGGTGCAAATATGAAGAAATATTTGTATTGTTCTACAGACGTAGGTTTCATCGGCTCAATTGGACATCAAGGAAGTGTAATCTACCATCGTGTTCTTCTTCACAAGTGGAGATGAGCGATGGATGCACATCATTAAATTTCACTAACATTTTATTCTTGTCGGCTTTCTCATCAAGAATAATAGAAATATCATCAACATAATGAAGATAAGAATCCATTTTATCTATTACTTGTCTCAATAGACTATTTTCAAGCTTGGCAATGATAAAATCTGCCGAAATTGAACCTGATAGAGGACCCATGGCAATACCATTGATTTGTCTGTAATAGATGTTGAATGTGAAGCGTACATTGGTAGTACATCTTAGAAGCAGCTGTTTGTGACTAGTAATTGGAATTTCGATATCGAAGTGTTTCTCTAGTATTTGTTGGCACTCGAAGTTCACAGTCTCCATAAGTGGGGAGCAATAATTTAAAATCTAAAGATAACTTTTGCTTCCCGTTTGCATTTAAATCGTATAAATTAGAAATGAATTCGAAGTCGTCATTAACACTATGATTAACCCGCTTTTTGTGTAGCGGTTATAGGAGTCCAACTAGCCACTTTGCCACTCCATGCTAAATAGAATTGTATATATCTGGAACTGAACAAAGAGGAAGCCCTTGCTTATGTATAACTTCTAGTAGGTCTAAAAGAGTTGTCAGTTGTCTCAGAGACTACTGCATTTTACCTCAGTTTCTTAAGCGTATTTCTCGACTGCTTTTCAGCCTTTCTGTTTAAATCTGTTGAGTTGTTAGGCTTTTGGAATTCTGTTTCGTCACTTGGAAGCTAATTCATTTTGCCAACATATTCACATTTGTTCATCAATACTACCTCCAGCCTTTTGTCTAGCCTTCTAATTTTATTGTTTTCATCGTTTCATAGCTTTTTTAGAGCTTCTCGATATTGTCTAGTCAACAGGTTTCTCCTAGAACAACTCCACTGTTAAACTGTTGACAGCTGTCGTCTAGTGTAGTTTGACGATGGTATCAAGTCTTTTGTTTGTAGAAGGAAGTTTTCAAACTGGATGTTGGTACCGAGTTGGTTGATCTTATGTTCTTGGTCACGAGGTTTTAGACCCAATGATAATACCTTTAACGGGAATCTGCCGGGTATAACGCTGAAAAGAACTATGAACATACCTATACCGGTCTGAAAGGAGATTCTTTCCAGGTTTTTATTATCAGATTTCCTTGATTATGTCGACCGAGTTGGCCAAAAACAGAGCGAAAACTTATCAAATCTATAGAGAACCAAAAACTTGAAAAGAATTTACCTTTCCTGTATCACTATGTTCATGATTTTTCCAGTGTTACACTAGGTAGATATCAGTCAAAGGTGTTATATCATTGGGTCTTAAAGTCAACAGCCGATGAGTCTCCATCGAATTTACAGATCCAGATAGAGAAGTTCTTTTGGGGACAGAAATTAGGTGTAGTTTTGTTGGTATAGGCTTCATGGATTTTGTGATGAAGCGTTCAGGATAACCATTTTCAATAAAAACCTGTTTTAAAGCACCCAGCTCCTCTTCATCGGTGTTAGAATTGTAGGTGTTGCAGATTGTGTGGGTCATTGAGTGGACCAGGTTCCATGTTGGCCTTCTGTGGATAGATCTTTTTTCAATATTTGATTGTGGGTTGAAAATTCTGGAAGGTTATTTTTGTATCAGATTCCTTCCTTTCTAATGTATCCCAGGTTTTTGTTGTGGCATAACTACTAGAGTACCGTGTGGAATATAAGATATCAAGCTTAAGTTCTGAAGTTTAGGTAGCAATTGTTTGTTTTATTTCTACGGGGTGGGAGGTTGGTAGCCTAATGCCCAACCTTCCCTCTTTATTGCCCTTATTATCGGCTAAGGGAGGATTAGGAGTGTGTCGACCGAGGATTGAACCCCGGACCATATACGTGGTTGGCGCATGCATTCTACCACTACACTACCACCGACGCCAATAGAGCGCCTTGATTTTCGCTTATTCTGTATCCTTACTGTTATTCTTATTACAAAGTCAAATGTTTCTTATGTGTAATTTCACTAATTTGTCTGCCTTAGAATCAGGTTTGTAATGAAGAATTGACGGTGGAGAATCCTGCTCCTATTACCGATAAGAAACCAGAACAAGAATGTTCCGAGGAAAATTCATGTATCGAACCTCCGGCAAAGAAAAAAACGACAGACAAGAAAAAGAAGAAGAAGAAGGATAAAATGGTTGACATTTATTCTGGTCTAGATGTCATCGAGGAGTTGGATGCTGATACTGGAGAAGTTCGTGCAATGCATTCTCTCAATAGTGTTTCAACAACATGTCCTGAAACATTTGAATCGACTGAACCACCTCCGTCTTTATCTGTACAGATGAAAGCGAATCGTGTTTACGGGCTTGTACTAGTCCCTACTCGAGAATTAGCTATTCAGGTAAGAAGCTTAAATGCTATTGTGTTACATATTACTATTGTTTTGTGGTTTGTTTTGCTTTATTTCATATTTATTATTATTCCGCTTGGATTCCTTGTGGAACACTGGGCTTCGACAGCACATCTCCATTTCATCTTGTTCTCTTCAGTCCTCCACGATTGCACATAAGCTCTCACCTCCTTCTCACACGATCTTCTCCATGCCACGCTCGGACACCTAACTTGCTGTTTCTCATTCAGATTCCACTCGACAACCTGGCGCACAATGTCACTCAACGGTCTTTTCAGCGTGTGTTCGATCCATCTCTATTTCTTTCGGGATATTTGTTGAACAGTGGGTAACACCAGATAACTATTTAGGCTTATCAGGGAAACAGGTGGTGAAAGGCAAGTGGGAAGTAAAACAATCTCTGAGAAAAATGGCACCATAATTAGCTCCTAAGATAGATTACTGGAACGTTGGAAATAACACTTTGAGGCGGAGTTTAACTCGCCTACAGCTACACTCAACTTACCGAGCATCTAACACCTCCCTGAATGGAATATAAACGCAAGTCCTCCGTCCCTAACTAAGGTTACTGAAGCTGTCATTAGTCTGAGACCAGGCAAAGCTGTGGAACCCGATGGAATGACTCCGGAGGTGTTTAAGGACAATGGACAATGGAGACAATTTATTGTCTGCCTTAACTAAGGTATTAGGAAGCATCTGGGAATCAGAAGGAGTCCCGTCTAGTTGATGTAAGTCATTGATTATCCAGATATACAAGAAGGGAGACAGGTCTTCCTGTGATAATCACAGGGGGATTAGCTTGAGCAATATAGTATCTAAAGTTCTAAGCTCAATGATAATGCGTACACTAAGCGGTTCTCGGGAGGCACGGACATGAGAGAACCAAGCAAGCTTTAGGCCAAGGGTGTATTGATCATATCTTCACCTTTCGACAGATTCTGGAAAGTAGGCATTCTTACCGTCAGCATCCAATAATCGTTATATTTCTTGACCGAAAGACGGCATTCAATTCTGTCGACCAAGAGGTACTCTGGCGATGTTTAACTGTAAAGGGAATGCCGAGAAAATACATTGCACTGATCAAGGCACTCTACTCGTACTCATGCAGTCAGTCAGGTGAGGGCTTACGGCGAGTTGTCATCTGAAGTGGTGACAACTAGTGGTGTCCGACAGAGATTCCCACTATCCCCCTTTCTATTCAATTTAATCATAGATACTGTACTAATGGACTTAACACTAACTCACTTCAGACACGAAGGGATTGATCTGTTGCCAGGGAATAATCTCGTCGACTTAAAATACGCAGATGATATAGTCCTCTTCCGATGTGAAGACGCTGAGAGAATAGAGCAGAGTCTTCTGAACACATTGAGGAGCAGCAATCTTCGAATGTTTGGCATACGACTCACTCTCCTTGTCAAATGCAAGATGATGCTACAGGACTGACTGGACTACATTGACTCACTCCTAGCTTAAAGATAGGGAGGGAGTGAAGTGGTTGGTGGAGCGTGTTGACCACTTCACTTATTTGGGAAGTTGCATCAGCCAACACCAATGGGTTGATTGCTGACGAAATCTCAACACGGATACATAAGGCTAGTTTCGCATATGCCAGCAAACCTCTTCTCTGGCGTAGACGTGATATCCGGCTATTGACCAAACGTCGTGTGTACTGCTCAGCAGTCCGCTCCGTCCTCCTTTATGGCTGTGAGTGAGACCAGGCCATTGAGAGCGGAAGACATAAAAAGGCTGATTAGCTGTCTTTGATCATAGGTGCCTGCGTTCTATCTCCCGTATTATATGTGGTAGGCACCTGTCGAGTGCTAAATGGCGAGGAGGGGAAATGAAATGACGAGGTTATGAAGTTACACCGATTGAGAGAGAGAGAGAGAGATGGTTAGGACATGTGGTACGCGTGCACGCCTAGCCATCGCCTTCCTCAACGGGTAATGTTAGCTGACATAGGATCAGGTTGAAAAGAACCAGTGGTGGTCAAACGAAAACATGGCTTCATCAATCAATGAAATCCACAACAGTTAGTTTAAGCTAGCCATGTAGGAAGATGTAGACCTCCTGGTTGGGGTCCTCGTAGTGATGCTAAGAACCAACGGTATCGGTTGACTTCCCCTCCTTACCAACTAGCACTTGATCGATGCCTAACCTGAATATTGCTCACCCTATTATGCCACCAGCTAACACGGTAGACAGCATGTAAACACCTATGGTCAAAGACAGCTAACCAGGCATTTTATATCTTCCACTTTCAATGGCCATGTCTCACTTACGGCCATAATAAATAAGGACCGAGTGCGGTACACACGTCGTTTGGTCGATAACCAGACGGATATCACGTCTGCTAAACGAGCCTTCTGTATATCGTCTATAGTTAGGCAGCACAGATTCTCTGATTTAGTCAGTCTCTTGACTATGTCGCTTTTTTATTGATCAATACTTGCCAAGCATTCCATTGGTGTTTTGTTTTTTTAAATAAAAAAAATCAATAGGTATCTCAACATCTGCGTATGTTAACGCGTTACATTGACTGTATTCGTATTGAAACAATTATGGGTGGAATATCGATTGATAAACAACTTCGACTACTTCAACGTTGTCCTGATATACTTGTTGCTACACCAGGAAGATTATGGCATTTTATTCAACAGGTTAGTTGAACACTCTTGAGTGTTTTTTCTTCTTCTTCTTCTACTCTACTTAAGGTGTTTTTTGTGTGTAGGAGAATGTGCTTCAGTGATGTGGTTAAGTTAGCTGGAATGGAAACATTCAACTTTCAGTCAAATGAGCTCTGGGTTCGAGTCCCACCACCCCACCTATTTCAGCTTGGTTAACTAGGTAGTAGTATTATGAGCCCTGCAACCATCTAATGTGGACATCAAATCAATGTGCACTGTGATGGCAAGCCGCTGCCTACTGGCATAGTGGCCACATTGCAAACCTGACTGACTGATAGAATTCAGTCTACACCAAAGAAAGGACTAGACATATCACACTAGTTACTGACTAGTGTCCAACCAAAGTATTGTGAGCCCTCGCACATTAAGTGTAACTCATATATCCTCGTCTACTAGGTGCCGCTGACAATTATACATCTCATCCAATAGTTGTACAACAATGATGTATGCCGAGTAATCCATAACGGGAAACTCACGGAATCCTTCGATGGAGTGAAGACGGGAGTAAGACAACGTGGCTGGCTGCCTACTATCTCCAATGATTTTCCTGATTGTGGTAGACTGGATAATGTGACAGACAGCAGTGGGTAACGAGAAGACAGGCATAAAATGGACCCACACAAAAACTTGGAGGATCTGGACTTCGCCGATGTGGTATATATATATATGTCTCATTTCCCATAAACTGGAAGATATGCAAGTGAAAACCAACAAGTTGGCAGAAGAAGCATCCAGAGAAGATAAGAGGGACTTCAGGTGAACACAGAGAAAACAGAGGTGATGAAGATTCCTGGGCAACACCAACAGCAACAACAAAAGACAACAATCAGCATAAATGGGAGAAGTCTGAAAGAAGCAACCTCTTTCATCTGCCTACTGACCAGGGAAGCATCGTTTCAACTGCAGGTGAACGGAACTGATGAGGATATCAAGGCGAGTATGGAGAAAGCAAGGCAAGCTTTCATTTCTCTCTAGTCTGTGTGGAGGTCAACAGCACTCAGCATGAAAAATAAGATCTAGAGTTTCAACTTCGATGTGAAGTCAGTGCTACTCACTATACGGATCAGAGACTTGGCACTTCATGAAGAGAACCTCAATCAAACTTTAGACCTTCACCAACGGCTCTCTCTTCGCTCAATACTACTCAAAATCAGATAGTTGGCCATAAAACATCAGCAACAGGGATTTTTGCAAATGGACGAACCAACCCAGCAGGAACCAAGTTTGCAACAAATATGCAGGGAGAGATATAGGTGGACTGGCTAGTCATACTCTGAGAAAACAAGCCGTCATCAATTGACATCCATCACACTCCAGGCTACAGCTCGAGTGGAACCTGAACGAGAAGCGGCGAGTTGTTTGTCAGTGCGATGGTGGGGTAACATAGAGGAGGTGATGTGAAAAGGAGATGAAAGAATGTGAGCAGACGTGGAGGCAGGTGAAGACGTTGCCAGAGAACCGAACTCAATGGAGACGTTTGGCTGAAGCTGTATGTTCCTCTAGGAACTAAAGGAAGCAATAATAATAATACATATCCTTGTACATGATGAACCTATTCCTGGATAAGACGGTGTACATGAATTTGAGTTGTTGAATTTCAAAATCACTTAGTACAGAGGAAAATGGTCTGAAAGCATATTGGTGTCAAATGATGGTAATTTTGTCCTTTTTGGTAAATATATGTTTGGTTATATATATCCAACCTATAGATATTTTGAATTAGACAGAAAAAGAACAAGAAGTTCAGCAAAGATAACTATCTTTTCAACGATTTATTAGTATTATTGTTTCCTTCAGTTCCTAGAGGAACATACGGCTTCAGCCAAACGTCTCCATTGAGTTCGGTTCTCTGACAACGTTTTCACCTGGCTTCACGTCTGTGCACATGCTTTCATCTCCTCTTCAAATGACCTCCTCCATTTCACACCACCTTTGCACTGAAAACCAACACGCCGTTTCCCATTCGGGTTTCCCTCGAGCGATGGTCTGTCGTGTGATATCACTCACTTGATGTCTTGTTTTCTCAGAGTACGGCCAGCCAATCCACCTCCATTTCTTCTTGCATGTCTGTTGCACAACTGGTTCCTGCTGGGTTAATTGGTTCGTTCATTGCCAGAGATCCCTGCCTGTTGTTGATCTTTTCTGGTCGGCCATCTGATCTTGAGTAGTATTGCGCGAAGACAACTGTTGATGAAGCTCTCTTTTCAACGACATCACAATACAATCGCATTTATACGCATAAGTTTGCATAGATACAATTTGAAGAAAGCAAGAACAACGACGGTTTTTGTAGAATAAGAAGATGGTACCATTATTGTTTATTTCGTTGGCTTCTCATCAGCTGCTGCTTACAGCCTAAATAAATAATAATTATTATTAAGTTCATGTAGAGAAAAGTTTTAACATGCTTGCAATTTTTACATAATGTCAGTTAGTGACAGAAGGTTCCGAACTTAGTGAACAGTGCTCAGAAAATTACGCTTATATAGTTTTTTTTACACAGGGAGTTCAATTTTAAACAAAGTAAATGTATATTCGGCCCAGTCAATCAACAGGAAAATCTATAATTGAATTAAATAAATTAATATGACCCGTCGAACAAGAGGTGGCCAGCTCTCGTCGCACAAGTGGTCTAGTGGATAACGCTTTGGCTGGCGTTTGAAACTATTGGCACTGGGTTCGAGCCTTAGTGGTGGGAACAGCATTACTCACTGTGGAATGCAGGTACATCCAGTTAGCTCACGAGTCCGAAATAGGATGAAATGTGCATCTTGGCTGGATTCCACTGCTAGTCACCATCCACTAATTAGATAAATGTATGCATACAATGGCAAAGGAGTTAGGTAATAAAGATGAGAGTTGAGTGATTATTATTATTGTTCCCTTGGGTTCCTAGTGGAACATAGAGCTTCAACTGCACGTCTCTACTTGCTTCTGTCTTCTGCTGTACTTTTCACCTGCATCCATGTTAATCCATACTGTTTCAACTCCTCTTCACACGATCTCCTCCTGGTCACCCTTGGACGTCCCACTCGCCGCTTCCCTTTCGGGTTCCACTCGAGCATTGGCCTGACGCGCGATGTCACCCAACGGCTTCCTCAGCGAGTGTCCAATCCATCTCCACTTTCTCCTGCATATTTGTTGGGCGATTGGTTCTTGTTTTGTTTGTTCCCATAGTTTCTTGTTTGTGATTCTTTCCGGCCATCTGATGAGTATAGAAGGAAGACAGTTGTTGATAAAGGTTTGCAACAGCCTGTTGGAAATATTCTTTGTGACCCGCCAAGTTTCTGTGTAACTAGTAAATTAGCTGACAATATACAGAGTTCTATTCAACTCATAGAAACAAGAGACCAACAGAATTATACTATATCAAGGAGGGGTTAGGTTAAAGCCAAAGATTGCGTAATCAAATGAAGAAGAGAGAGAGACAGAGTAAAGACATCCAGTTACCAGGCAGGGCAAGGAAAGACCAACTGATAACTGCTTCTTCTTTCTGAATACATAAATCGGGTTTCAGGCGTTCGATAGAGATTACTTCGGGAAACTTGAGGGAAATCGAACTGTTGTTTTGTCTATTGATAATTTTAAAGGATTTCGTCATTTCCACCTCATGATGACTCGTATCAAGGAGATGTCTGATAATGGCACTTATTGTAAGCGTCTGTTCCCTTGAGATATATTTAATTCCATAGAATAACGAAAGAGAATAAACGTGATAATCATTTTCAACTTGATATGAAAGTTTGAGGGTGTGAATATACATTACAAGGGTGGCTAGAAGCAAAATTTGAATGGGATGAGTATGAAAACAAATTGAGGGAAAAATTAAGGGAATTAATAAACACAATTGTGTCGGTGGCATAGCGGTTAGGACGCTCGCCGACCATGCACATGGTCCGGGGTTCGATCCCCGGCCGACACACTCCTTTACCTCGCTAAGCCAGAAATAATGCTGGTGAAGAGGAAGGGTTGGGCATGAGGCTAGCAACCCCATCCTGTCAAAATAAAGACCACTGCTACAGAAACTTCAAGCCCCTAGCTTGAAGCCCTATGTTCCACTGGGGAACGTGAAAGAAAACAAAGAATAAACAAACAAACGAAATCTAAGGAGTCATACCGAACTAGATCCACGGTAAATGTGGAGAGTGACGTTGGACTAGCGTCTTTTGAACATGTAGTTTCGATGCATCTGGTGACGGCTTCTGCAGTACGAAAATTTTTATTTACCTTGCTAGTGACTCTGAATGATGGATAAGTCAGTTGAGATGCTGTGAGAGGTGTTGATAAGGTGTTCAATTATGCCGCTTCTGAGTGAACCAGTACCCTCCTCTTTGCAAGCCACACTGGGTAATATTCTCTAACACGTTTTGATACGACCTGCATAGAACGAATTTTCTACTGGAAACGTATAATTAATTTAATTTCCTAGTTCTATGCCATCAGTTATAGTTGTCGCTTCGCTGGTCGGTGTAGTGTAATATAGGACATAGTAGTTTTTTGGTACCAATTTGCAAGTTTCATCGTTAAATGACTTCAGTTAGAGAACCACTGAACAGCTCTTTCGTCCTAGTTTGGGACTTTTTAGCATCACGTATCCGATGATTCTTAGACCGAGTATCATCGAACATGGGACCCTCAGGTTACGAGGCGAGCCTGTTCACCATTTTTAATTTGTTAATAATAATAATAACAATTTGCTTTATTCCAAAAACAGTACTAATGATACAGCAAGGAATTTTCAGCATTCAGTACAATATTGCATCTAATTTACTCAAAAACGACAACAACAAAGAATAAATAAACGAAATAATCAGTACATATAATGATAACAAAACGTTGTTATAGCAGCTATGTAGCAATTACAGTATACGATAAGGAGAAAAATACGCATAAAGTATAAAATTATAGTAATAATAGTAATAACAACTAAAATAAAAATAGCAAAGTTATAATTAAACGATAGAAAGGGTGACACCAGAAAGATGAACAATGAAAGGGTCGATTCACTATGCTAATTACATAGTAACTTATGTTTCACGTCTAACAGAGTCTTCATCACATAAAATGCGGGCTAAATACGGTATTGTAGAATTTTTGTACTTAGTGGTACGAGCATATAATTTCTTATATTGGCTTCTCGTCCTACCTGATGAGATACAAGGGGATAGTTGTGAATAAAGAGGGTGCAGAGGGTCTGACAGTACGGCCTTTGCCCACGTTGTACAGGAATTTACGTGTCTCTCGACTATAGTATTGGCGAGCTCATGTAGTGGCAAATCACAAGCCCTACTCACAGCATTTAATACCCTTCGTAGTATGACATAGTCTTTTTTAAGAAGCCCAGGAAAGATTAATGGAGAACAATAGAGTACAGTAGGTAAAATAAAGGAGTTTAAAAATTTCAGAAGTAAAGGTTGGTTGATACCTGATTGTCTTAACTTTTTAATGTAGAAGGTAAGACGAAACATTTCCTTAGAGATCAATAAGATGTGGGATGACCATGAAAGGTCAGAGGAAAGAACAGATTGTTATATCACCTCTCCCTTATGAGTGGGAATTACTCGGGGACAGCTTGGAAGCACACCGCCTGTTTACCGCCCCTAACTGACCCGATATCGAGGAAGTTAAACCGGATTCCTCGAACAACAAATGAAAATTATCGAGTTGCTGACGCACTCAAAAATTCCTGGTGTCGAACCATTCCAGGCTACTCCGGCTGTAATAGCCGCTTCAGTAGACGGAATTGTAGATACCGTTACTGAGTTCCACTATAATCCTGATGCCAACGTTACATTCGATACTTAGTTCAAGAGATGACATGAAGACAATTTCAAAGGAGATTTTTCTGGCCAAGATAATTCATGGAAAGTGTACCTCCTACTTCAAAAATTGGATCCATCTGAATTCGACCAATAGAGTGATATGACTCTGCCTCAAAATCCGTGTGACCGCACCTTTGAAGACATACTGCAGACATTAAGACAACATTTCGGTGATCACTCATCCCTCTTTAATTCTCGATATCACTGTCTAAAGCTAATTATGAACGAGAATAATGATTGAGCTACTAGGATGGAATCTAATGACAAATTAATTCTAACTTTTGTAATATTTGGGAACTGACAGTCTGTTTCCCTTGTTTTCTTCTCTGTTCAAGATGTTTGCAGTAGATGTCATGAGATGTACTAATTTGATTGGACAGTTAGGTAGCAACTAATGTCATGCAATGTCGCCACTATGCTAGCTAATGGCTTGCCATCACGGTGCATTGTGAGTTGTTGTTATTATTAGATGATTGGTGGCAATCTTGAGGAAGTCTTAGACCTAGATTTCGAGCTTACTAGCACTAATCTTCACTCTTGAAGGAGGTTCGAACCCGCATCACCCAGTGCTGCCGCTGAGCTCTTCAGAGTCATGATTGACCACCTCCTGTAAGACTGTAATGGATACTTTGATTGGACCACTAGATAGGAACTAATGTCATGCGTGGTTTAGTCTGGCACTGAGCGACCCGGACTCGAACCTGAGAAGGGACATGATTTCCTTCCCAGACCTCAGATACGCCTTGCTAAAATGGTGAGTGCCAACAACAAGCGCGAAATCTACGTCCAGTAGGGCTCAACCGTCCAACAAGAATATACTACTTAGAAGCTCTTTTGTCAGTAGTACATGCCGCTCTTTTTAGCTAGATTAATCTAATAAAGGTATCTTGTTTAAATCTGATTATGAATATATTTTGTGTTCCCGCTTAACTTATTATTTTTTTGTTTTTCACATATATAAAGGATGAGCCGCATATTCTCACCTTACCCAATGTCAGTGTTGTGGTTATCGATGAAGCTGACAGAATGATTGAAGCAAATCACTTTGATGATTTACGCGCCATTTTCGATTGGTTGCATACTGGATCAATGTCAAGCGATGGTGGTGTAAATGATGATGAAGAAGGCGAGGCAGTTGAATGCGAAAATTCTAAAAAGACAAAAAATCTTAAACGGAAGTCAACAGACGATAGCGGCGGCGCCAATGCGATAGCTCCAACTGAAGTTGACCGGCAAACGCTAGTTTTCTCCGCTACACTTACATTTGTGCATAGTGGTGCATTGAAACCAGGCAGTGGATCTAAAAAGCATAAAATGTTGTCGGGGGGTAAAAGTAATATGACAAAGAAAATAAAACTTGGTACGTTGTAATTTTCGATGGTAATATTTTTATGCCTACATCCCCCCCCTTAGAGTCATGTTATTTATTTTCTTGATTGCCATTTATAGGGTATCAGACATATGACATATAGAGTGATCTAAGTAATTTTGATTGCAGATTTGACCATGAGCTGTTTCGTCCTAGTTTGAAACTCACCATCAGTATGCGCCCGTCAGATTTCCAACCCAGGACCCTCCGGTTACAAAGCGAAACTAGTAGACCATTTAGCCACTGGGAACCGATCCAATGGTCAGACCAAGGGTTCCAACTTCCCCCATTCCTCCATACCACGGGCGAGTACCTGTCCTCTTACCTGACTTGATGGACCTCATTGGTCACAATTCCCCACTCGAAATCCAGGTAAACTCCGGTATAGAGCCAATCGCTAGTGAGCATGAGATTAACTATTAAGTTTGACCACGGATTGATATCAGTTAGAGAACCATTGAAAACCAGGGAGTACTGGACAGCCGGCTGTTTCATCCAAGTTTGGGAATCATCGGCAGTATGCGCCCACTACCAGGGGTCGAACCCAGGACCTTCTGGTTACAAGGCAAGCTGGCTTGTTTACCATTCAGCCACTGGGATCCGACTCAATGGTTCTCTAACTAATATCAATCCGTGGGTGGTATAATAAGGTAAGTAATGTTGACGTTAGGCGTAGAGTGTTGGGCAAATAGGGAAAATCAATCGACGAGGCTATAAAGTTACATAGATTGAGATGGCTAGGTCGCGTGCTGCACATGCCTAACCATTGCCTCTCCCCCCGACGGGCATTACTAGCTGATATAGGTGCAGGTTGGAAAAGAGTAAGAGCGGTGGCCAAACAAAAACATGGCCTCATCAATCCATGAAATCCCTGACAGTTAAACTGAGTCAGTCAGGTAGGGAGATGCAGACTTCCGGGTTGGGGTCCTCGGGACTGTAAGAATCAATGGCGTGAGACAATAGGTGACATGGCTCAAAATCGATGTCAATAGCTTACGCAGATGTATTCAGTTTCTGTTATCTTTCATATTCCTTTCTACCATTACTCATTCATTCTGTTTCACTCTTATACTAGGCAAAACTCTATTGATTCTCTTCCTCACTCATCTTCTTGTCTACCACCTTTGTGTGCTATTTGGAACGTGGCAACTCGAACTGCTGCACTTCGGTGCCAAGTTCTATGTTGAATCCAGAGACAGACAGAATGTTTGACTGTAAAGGGTATACCGAGAGGATAACTCGCACTGATCAAGGCACTTACTCTACTCGAACTCATGCGGCCAATAGCCAGATGAGAGCCTACGGAGAGTTGTCGTCTGATAACTGTGATGACAACCACTGGTGTCCGTCAAGGATGCCCACTGTCCCCATTTCTGTCTAATTTCATTATAGATGTACACACTGATGGACTCAACCCTGAGTGAATTCAGCGACTCAGGGATTGACTTGTTACGCATCAGGGAATAATTTCGTTGACTCAGAATATACAGATGATATAATGCTCTTCCAATGTGAAGACAGTGACAGAATAGAGCAGAGTCATTTGAACACCTTGAGCTGAGCAACAGTCTTCGAATGTTTGGCATGTGATTCACTCCTCTTGTCAAATGTAAGTTGATGCTACAGGACTGATTGGACTACATTGACTCCTAGCTTAAAGATAGGGAGGGAGTGAAGTGGTTTGTGAGGCATGTTGACCAATTTACTTGTTTGGGGAGCTTTATCAGCCATCCTCAACGGGTTGATCGCTGACGAAATCTCAACACGGATACAAAAGACTGGTTTAGCATTGATGAACCAACGTACGCCATTTCTGTCTGTCTGTATTTGCTGAGTAACTTTGCCATACTTCAGACTTCCGATGCCGCAATCCCTGCTACCTCACTATTCTCGTGCATGCTAAAACACCCATACTTCGTAACGACAACCCTTTTCTTCATGTTAATCACTGCATCCACTTCTCGCAAAAAGTCGGCCCCAAGGATTGTTCGGCACAATTCAGGTACAACCAGGAATGGGAACATCACGCAATCCTCTCCAATTCTAACCCTGCAGTCTGAAACTCCCGCGATTCTTAACACGTGACCGCCTACTGTCTGCACTGTCAACGAACACAGTCTTATACTCTCACATAGACTCCTATCTACGAGTGAGACTACTGCCCCTGTGTCGATTAAACACACCAACTCGCGATCATTTACCCGTACCTTCGAATATATTGCCCCTTTCTCCATCGCCCCTATTACCTCAAGTCTCGGAACACAGGAAGAAGACACCGTATATCTTTTAAAATTCTTCTTTGTCGTCTCTCTGGGCAGCGGGTTCTCCAGTGCCCCAGTTTGCCACATGCGAAGCACCGGTCTCTCCGCACGCTCAGTCTCAGGGCGGCCACTTCACGTTGCAACTCTTCGATTTGTTTCTCACACTGCTCGGATTTTGGTGGCTCTACCGCTGCAACCGTCTTGCTTAACAGTTGTCTGGTCACCTTCGCAAGCTCCCCAATTTCTAGTGGCTGTACGGCATTAACCGGATGTAGCTATTGGGATATATGTTCTGGAACACTCTCCATAAACTGTGACGCCAACATTTGTACCTCAGAATCTTCGTCCAGTGTTGGTAGAGCGCGAAGAAGTAGGCTTGTCAAGGTCAGCGCCAATACGAGAGGATCACCGTCAACTCCCAGCTTCATGGTGCGAAACTGCTGCATTGTCCGCTTTCTGTCCATCGGGCTGTCAAACTCCTGCTTCAAGCATTCAACCACTGACTTCCAAGTTGCTTGCCCCTCTGTTTGCCTCACACTATCATATGCTGCCTTCGTCCGGCCTCTCAGTAGCGTTCCAAGAACAACCGTCTTCGCTGATGGCTCTTGCACGCCATTCAACTCTGCAATAGCTTCGAAGTCCCTTAAGAAGATCCATATGTCTCCTTCTTCAAAAGCTGCAGGCCATGGGACTTTCATTTCGCGACAGGCAGCGACACCAAATGTAACAACAGAAGACAAGGGCCAGGCAACAGATCGTTTATTAAGGAAATCAAAGCATATTTATATATTTTCATGTACATTATTATAGATTAGTTAAGCAAACAAACACAGTCTTCTGATTAGTTGTTTCTCACTTAAAGTTAATCTTTCATCTCTTTGTGACTGTTTCTTGAATGTCAGATCATCTATATGTTAACTGTATCCGCCTACGCAAAGTCTGCTGTGGTCGGTTTTGAATCAGTCTTGTTCATATTTTCTCACGACAAATCTTGGGAACGTAAACATTGACGTAAATTACTGTCTACCAATTTGGCTAGTAGACAGCTCTCACCACAATATTACTGCTATTCTTTTTCCTTCACTCACACTTCTGTTTATCATCTCTCTTTCTCTCGTTTGAATCACCCTTTACTCTCTTGTCTTGCTTTATTTGATGCATGGAGGGAAACTGGCAACTCAAACTGGTGCACATCTGCGCAAGTTTCTATGTTGAAACCAATCAGTCAGTCAGTTATAGAGGAAGAGGCTGTAGAGATAAGCTGGTGACTAGTATCGACCAGATGTTCAATGATTGCTCTTCTTAAAGCCTCAATTCCACCTCTTCGTAACCATGCAGGATCTAGTGTTATATATGTATACGATACGCCTCAAACACGTTTTATAGAGGAGTGAGTTTTGTACCACCTTTATGTGTTCAAAAATAATTCGTCATCACATTGAACCTTCCTTGATAAACTTTGTTTTGATACCAGGCCAGCTGTTACTAATTATCTTCCTTTTTTGGTTAATTGATCTCCATTGTTATTTTGACCTTCAATTCTAGTCATTTAACTTGACGTGTGGCTATTCTGTCACTCCTTAACGCTTTATTATTTTCATTTTTTGTCTTATTCCTTTACGTTCCCAGTGGAACATAGGGCTTCAAGCTAGAGGCCTGAAGTTTCTGTAGCAGTGGTGTTTATTTTTACGGGATGGAGTCGCTAGCCTCATGTCCAACCTTCCCTCTTTACCAGTCTAGTTACTGGCTTAGCGAGCTAAAGGAGTGCGTTGGTGGCCGAGGATCGAACCCCGGACCACATACGTGGTTAGCGAGCATCCCACCACTGTGCCAGCGAAGCACATTATTTTCATATGACAAGTATGTGTGTATCTGATCAGATTGTTGGAGATGTGTTGCTCAAATACACTATATTTGTTTGTTTAAGTCACCATAGTTAATTGATAGGGCAGACATTTGAAAGATCCGTCGCCGACACAAGGCTGACTGCGATCATTAAAGTTATCCAGAGTCATCACAGAATTCAACAGAGACAGCCGAAACTGCCCCCCAGTTGTTTCTGTTCTAATAAATGCACCCGTTCCCTTGCGGGTCAGCGCATAATTGCATGTCTTAGCTCTAGAATTACTACAGTTATCCATGTAGCATATATGATCTAAGGAACCATAGCTGATTTAATGAGCCATTCGCGGTTTCACCGTTTTAAGGTATGTACTTAGACATGCATGGTTTAATCTCTGAGACAAGCATATGACCACTGGCAGGATCATCCAGTTTATTCACACGGTGATATACCCATTGACTGGGTATTGGTTTTCAGGATAACCAAACACCCACCGCTGCCTCTGCGAGACGAGACCGGCATGCAGGATCATCCTGTGGCGTAACTACTCGAGAGCCCTCTCCCTCGGTGGACCATTTGCATCCTTAGTATACATAGTAATGCATAGGTAAGCATTGTTACGCCGATCATTGATCGCGTCAATCAATTATGCACTGCATAGACAAGCCCAATAGAACTCATCTCGCATACAAGACTAGCCAAACGTATTATTATATGCAAAAGTAGCACGCATAGCAACGCTATAGTGACAATAGGCCCCTATAACCGAAACCAACAGCCACCAAATTCAATGAAATCGTTATCCCTGCCAACTAATTTAGCATGCAAATAGCTTCTATACGTCTGCCAAGACTATAGAAAACTATACACAGTCATATAAGCGAGCCATGAGAACCATCTAACTTCCGCTCATATCGTCTATATAGCTTATGCTGTGTTTACTATAGGATTTTAGGGTTATAAGCAAGACAGCCTAGCTGGGCGCTAGTAGGCCTAAATAAGCTCGAAACTCCATGGTCACGGATACCAAAACACGTTTCACGCATTCCTCTATTATTTGGAAACGTTTTTGAAATTTTCGATTTTTCGACTTTTTTGGACCCGAGTTACGGGTAGTATCCCTAATCGCGTGAGTAATTCTGAGGTTCGGCGGCATGTGTTTGAACACAGTGGAGATCACCATTCATTGAGTGTTGTCATCTGGAAACACCGGCTCCGGTGGCTTGGACATGTGCTGCGAATGTCCGTGCAGGTCTTTGTTCGCTAGACCTGGGACGGGGTGGAAAAAGCGGAGGGGTGGTCAGTCCATGACGTGGAGTCGTGGGATGAAGAATATTTGTACTAGGTTAGCATCGGTTGGTGCGTCACGTCTCCCTGATTGGAGAGATAGCTCGAATCGATGGCTCTAAACGTTAACGGATATGGCCAAGAATCGCAGTCATCAATGGCGAACGTGTTGCAATTTCATTCTTTTTTCCCTTCCCGATGATAGTTAACGAATACTGTTTGAACTTGTTAAGCATGACTGTTTTCCTTCCAGATGAAGTTCTTTATCCGTTCTCTACTTATATTTTCTTTTTACTTTTGATCTATGTTGTTTTATTATTACTGTGTGGCGCATCTTTCTTGGTGTCATATTGTACCAAGTTTTTTCTGCGTTTAAATAAAATAAAATAAAATCCACAGTTAATTAATTAGATTACTCATTGAAACTGTAACCAAATATTCCCAGTTTTTCTCTCTTTGACTTATAGCTCTACTGCGTCAAATGTTTGGTTTAAGAAAATCAGTTCAAGTGATTGACCTATCGTCGTCTAGTTCCCCGAACAGTCAATTAAATCAAAAAGCATCTACAGCCGGTCAACATTCACAACAACAACAACCAGCCTGTCCTGATGGCCTGTGTGAATCACGTCTATTATGCCCAAATCAAGAGAGTAAAGATAATCGATTATTTTGGTTTATTACATTCGGACGTCAACTTGCCTCTGCCTGCTTACCAGTAAAACTTACAAATCAAAGATGTTTAATTTTTTTGAATAGTAAATCAGGTGTACGTCGATTAGCTGGTGTGTTACGTCAGCTAGTCGAGTCGGATGCTTTTTCAGTTGGCGGATATTCATCATCAGTAGTAAAGCATATTAGTGTTTTACACGCGGATATGATACAAAAGCAAAGATTACGGGCTTTAGAACGTTTTCAAGGTAATTAATTTAGTTCTTTTTATTATTATTATTGTTTCCTTTAATTCCTAGAGGAACATAGGGCTTCAGCCGTGCGTCTCCATTGTGTTTGGTTCTCTGCTAGAGTCTTCACCTAGCTCCAAGTCTGCCCACACGTTTTCATCTCCTCTTCACATGACCTCCTCCAAGTCACCCTTGCACTGACGACTAACTCGCCGCTTCCCTTTCGAGTTCCACTCGAGCAATGGCTTGTCTAGTGATGTCACTTGATGGTTTCCTTAGAGTATGGCCAGCCAATCCATCTCCATTTCTTCCTGCCTATTTGTTTCACAATCGGTTCCTGGTTGGTTCGCTCATTGCCAGAGATCTCTGTTACTGATCTTTTCTGGCCATCTGATCTTTTTTTTTAAAAAATTTCTCTTTTCCAGTCTTTCATTCTATATTTACTTCCTTAGGGTTCTGAGTGGAATTAGAGAGGACTTCAACAGGATATTTTCATTTCATCTTACTATCTGAAGTGAGAACTTTAGACCTACACAAAAAAGAACTTGGAGGATCTGGACTTCGCCGATGTGATATACATGTCTGATTTCCCATAAACTGGAAGATATGCAAGTGAAAAGCAACAAGTTGGCGATAGAAGAAGCATCCAGAGAAGAGAGAACTTCCTTCAGGTGAACATAGAGAAAACAGTGGTAAGTGATGAAGATTCCTGGCCAACAGCAACAAAAACAGACAACAATCAGCCAGCATAAATGTGGGGAGTCTGAAAGAAGTAACCCCCTTTACCTACCTGGGAAGCATCGTTTCAACTACAGGCGGACGGAACTGATGAGGATATCAAAGCGAGGATCCGTAAAGCAAAGTCAAGTCTGTGTGGAGGTCAACACAGCGCTCGGCATGAAAAATAAGATCCGGATTTTCAACTCCAATGTGAAGTCAGTGCTACTCACTATACGGCTCGGATACTTGGCCAGCGCGTCACGAAGGGTACTTGGTACAAACTACACACCTTCATCAATAGCTCTGTCTTCGCTCAATATTTCGCTCAAGATCAGATGACCGGCTAGAAAAGATCAGCAACAGGGAGGCATCTCTGGCAATGAACGAACCAACCAACCCAGCAGGAACCAATTGTGCAACAAATATGCAGGAAAAAATGGAGGTGGATTGGCTGGCCATACTCTGAGAAAACAAACCATCAAGTGAGTGACATCACACGACAGGCCATCGCTCGAGTGGAACTCGAACGGGAATCGGCGAGTTGATTGTCAGTGAGAGGGTGGGGTGACACAGAGGAGATGAAAGCATTTTAGCAGACGTGTAGCCATGTGAAAACATTGGCAGAGAACCCTGGAAGCAATGGCGACGCACGGCTGAAGCCCTATGTTCCTCTAGGAACTAAAGGAAACAATAATAATATTATAATAAGATTCTCTGAAATCCTCTTTAGCCTAGCTCTATGATTGCTCATAAGTTCTCATCTCCTGCTGTTTCACCCTCGAGATGACGTCCTACTGGTCATTTTCTATCTGACTTCCACTCGGGCGATGGCCTGTCCCGTGTATCTGATCTATCTCCATTTCCTTCGGCATATTTGTTAGGCAGTAGATTGTTATTGGTGTTGGTTCATTCGCAGAAGTTCCCTTTCGTATATTCTTTCTGACTGGGCTATCTGACCTTCATTATAGAGAAAAGGTAGCTGTTAATGAAAGTTTGAAGTGGATTCCTACACTTATTTCAGATTACTTATTGAAGGTTTGTCTTGAGTTTTCTATCCTCGTTGGCTTTTGACATCTTCATCTGTGTGCTGAACTTGCCTGTAGTTGAAACGATGCTGCCTGGACAAGTGAAATAAGTGATTTCTTCCCAATTTCTCCCGTTGATTGTGGTGATTGTGTATCTTCATCTGCTCTGTCTTCTCTGCTTTTACTGCCAACTTGTTGCTCTTCGCTTGTAAATCTTCTAGTTTATGTGACACTAGATGTAAATCGTCCGCGAAATCGAGATCTTCTAGAGTCTTCTTGTTGGTGCAACGTATTCCTATCTTCTCTCTCTCTCTTTCTACTGTTTGTCGCATGATCCAGTCCACCACAGTTAGGAATATCATCAGTGATAGTAAGCAGGCAGCTTTGTCTTACTTTTGTATTCACTTCATTGTCGTCGCCTTTGTTTTTCCGTTGTGGATCACTTGATATGTGGCACCATCGTCATATAGTTGTTGAATGAGGTTAGCAAAGGCTTGTGTCAATGTACCGCTTAGTGTTGAAGTAGTTTCCTAATTACTTCACGGTCGATAGGGTTGAGGTAAAGATCTGACTACCATTCTATGCTTTGTTCGATGATGTGGTGCGATTTGATCCACACATGATACGCCTTTCCTGAATCCAGCTTATTCTGGGTGAAATTCCGCATCCAAGGCGTTTGTTTGTCCCTTCCACGATGACGTGACTTTATATGTTGTTTTACATAGACTTCAGCCTGATTCGGCGCCAATTTTTGCAAAGGTGTAAGTCGTCTTTCTTTCTCAGTTTGACTTTTATTTAAATTCGCGGTTGACAAACAAATAAATAAGCCGATTTAAACAAATCAGGGTATTTGGCGCAGTTTTTGAACATAACCGCCGCCTTTATCGGAACTCTTCAATAAAGGAGACAAGTGAGAAAAAGGAGAAGCGGTGATTCACCATCGAAGAGACTCTTTTCATGGTGATTTCAGCTATACATGTTTTCGAATTACATACTATTCGCTCGACATCATACCATCGCTAAATATAATGGTGTAACTGTTCCTCTGCTCAACACGCTACTATGAAACTTTCTACTTATCATTAGTGTCGTTCATTAACTATTATTATTATTATATTTCCAGCCGATCCAAATGGAATCCTTCTGGCCAGTGATGTAGCCGCTCGTGGTTTGGATTTAGCCTCCAAGGATACAACCGATGAAACAAGTGGTGTCTCATGGGTTATCCACTTCGATGTACCGCATACAGCTGAACTGTATATTCATCGATCTGGTCGAACAGCTAGGGCAAATCGTCAAGGAACAAGCTTGCTGTTCATTTCACCGAATGAAATTATTCGTTGGCATAAAATTGCTGTCAGTTTAAAGAGAAATAGTAAGTCCGTTGAACTTCTTTTTTTATTTTATTATTCGTATCAACTGTGTTTGTAGTTCGTATTGATTTGACCGAAATGCTTCAGAAGGAATGCGCTTTAGCGTTTGGAACGATGAGTGGTAGTCGATATAAGTGTCAGTCAGTCAATCACTCACTCACTCACTCAGTGGGGAATGCAGGAACATCCAGTGGACGTGAGTGCCAAGCAGAAAGAAATATGCATTCTGAAGCTTATTGCTTAGCAACTAACAACTCGAATGCCGGGTTTTATGGAACACTTTTAGATTTGAATGAAGCAAAAAAAACAAACAGTGGTTTGTTGAGAATGAGGCGGTACCATCGTTTATTCTGTCGACTTCTCTTCAGCTGCGTACGACCCTAAAAATTCATTAATTATGTGTGGAGAGAAGTTTTTTGTCGCACGGACTGACAGATTGAATTTCAATTTAGAAATTATCACAAAAATGCGACAGTTGAAGTCTCTACATTCCGTACATCACAAATAGGTAGACAAATTCGAGAGAGAGAGAGGAGAGAGAGAGAAAGAATAGTAACACGCGAAAACATGTTGGTTGTTTAGTGGACATTGGGATCACAAAAAGTGAATGGATTTGTGCCAGTGAGTGACAACTTATTTTGGGCCATATCTCCAATAGTTTGCAGTGCCATTGGTTTTAAGTATCCTAAGGATCCCTATCAGGCAGTCTACATTGATACCAAGTTTTTAATCGACCACCTCTAATTTTTTTCTAACATAATCTGATGTCAGCTATCATTGCCTATCGAAGGCGGCGATGGATTGGCGTGCGTAACTCGTGTCCTAACCATATCATGGGCAACTTTCCATCCTTACCTAACACGATCGATGCCCTCCTTATCATACCAACTAACGCAGACATCTATTATGAGAGACAGCTAGCCAGGCTTTTCATGTCTTCCACTATCAACGGTCATGTCTCACTCACAGGCATAAAGGAGGACGGAGCGAACTGATACTGTGCAGTACTACAATAGCCCACCGGATATCACATCAACGCGAGAGATGATGTTGGTCGAAAAATGCCATACGAGCCTATTTATCTCCGTCAAATGTAAGACGGTGCTACAGGACTGAATTACATTGACACAATCCTAGCTTAAAGATAGGGAGTGAAGTGGTAGGGGGTGGTGACCACTTCACCTATTTGGGAAATTGCATCAGCTGGCGGCGATGGGTTGGTGGCTGACGAAATCTCAGCACGGATACAGAAGGCTTGTTCGACATATGTCCAACCTATGCTATTTCTGGCGTAGAGGTGATATCCGAATGTCTACCAAAAGATGTGTATCCTGCTCAACAGTTTGCTCTGTCCTCCTTCATCATGACCGTGAGTGAAAAATGGCCATTGAAAGCGGAAGACATGAAAAGATTGGCTAGCTGTCTTTGATCACAGATGTCTGCGTTCTGTCTCCCGTGTTACGTGCTGTGGTATAACAGGGTGAATAGTATTGAGGTCAGGCGTCGAGTACTAGGTAAATATGGGAAATCAATCGACTAGGTTGTGAAACAGTCTGGTTGTAGGGAGATGTGTTACTCGATCTCCTTCCTCGAGCCAGCTATGCTGCCCTTCTGCTCTACCCCACGGTGTGGGTTGGGGGAGTTAGAAAAGGTTGCCACGAAAGTTGTACATTCTGGCTCACGTTGTAGTTGTTCTTGGCCAGTGGTAAGATCTTTATACGGCTGGAACTCCAATTCCAAATGACCTTATTTGGCTGGTCTTATGCAGTTGTCATCTGGGGGGGGGGGTTCCGTGGTCACGCAATAATAATGCACCTCCTGTTTCAGGTACTCCAGGAAAAAATCAACTTCCACGATACTGGGGAAGTAATACCATATTACTTCGTTTATTCGATATGTCACACAGTCAGTGAAACAGTATTATCATTTACTGGATGACAAAGTTTCGAACACAATTTACTTATTGTTCATAATCATATCGTCAACTATATTGTGCGTCGGTGGCACAGTGGTTAGGACTCTCGCCGACCATGCACATGGTCCGGGGTTCCATCCCCTGCCGACGCACACCCGATATCTATGGTCGGCCTGCAAAATTGGGCAACCGATATCACATGCTGAAAATTCCATACTTGTACCAAAAATACTGTGTGGAATCAAGCTATAACAAAATAAAAAAATAAAAATAAAAAAATATATAATCACACACAACTTCGAAACTTGAGTTTTATAGTTCTCCTTATTCTTTACTATTTGTCATTGGTGTATTAGTAGAATTTTCCAGATATCTGGGTGGACAGGTGTTGAATCACTCCCATTACACGTGTTTGGAGTTGATTCGGCAGATATATTCATGGATAGTTGAGCAAACGTAGCTATTAAAACGTTCAACCCCACCCAAAAGGCATGATGGAGTTATGTAGATGACATATTCACTGTACTTAGAACGCAGGATATAGATAGATTTTTCGAACACATTAACTCAAAGTTGGAGGCGATTCATCAATTCACTTATGAAATGGAAAGTCAGGAAGGAGACCTTCCAATGTTAGATTGCATGTAGCATGAAAAGGAAAGAAGATGGGAAGTTAAACACTAGTGTTTACAAGAAAACCACATACATTGAAAGAGATATTTGGACTTCCGATCATCCCATCCTATGTCAGTGAAAATAGGATTGGTAAAGTGTATAAGTGACAACGGGGCACAAAAACTAAGTATTATCAAGGGAAATCTCAGACAGGAAGTGATACATACAAGAGAAGCTTTGAAACTTAATAATTACACTGATAAATTAGTCAGAAAGTATGTAGGGAAATGTAAAAATAAAATAAACAATGATACTAGTGATAGTGATAATAATAGTAATAATATTAATGACGGCATGCATGTCAAAAATGCGCAGGATAATGACAACACCAACAATAAGGAATCTAAATCATCAGTAGTAATTCCATACAAAGAAGGAACCTCGGAAACCTTACGCAAAATTCTTAACAAGACAGGGATAAAAGTGACTGGCATTCAAACCCACAAACTTAATTAGAAACAAGCTTTGTCGGTTAAAGGATAACTCCTTTAAAACAAAACAATTTAGTTTATCTCATACCCTGCCTGAGTTGATTGTCAGGTCAAAGTAGTAGCACAGGGGCAATCAGACTAGCTGAGCATAAAAACCTAGCAGCAAAATGTAGATTAGTTGACCCGAATAAGATAAGAAATCTGGAGAATAGTTCAGCTATACTACTCACTACATGCAATAACACATATCCAAACATACAATAGGATGATGGGATGAGATAACAGACCGTTTCAAAGTCTAATGTAAGAGGGTGAGTGGAGGGAGAGATTGATAACGGAAGCTTTGTTTATCGAATCAACTGCAGATACATGTAATAGGAATGATTCAACACCTGTCCAGCCAAATATCCGGAAAATTCTACTACCACCCAAAGAGGACAAATAGGAGAGAGCAAGGAAAACTATAAAAGTCAAGTTTCTAAGTCGTGTGATTATATAATTGACGATATGATTATGAACAATAGTAAATTGTGTTCGACTGTTTGTCATCCAGTAAATAATACTGTTTCACACTGTGTGATATATCTAATAACAAACTAATATGGAATTACATACTACCACAATGCCAAAGTTTTACACATATATGAATATGGGGAAGTAATAATCGCGTAAGCGTCGGTGGCACAGTGGTAGAATGCTCGCCAACCACGCTACAGGTGGTCCGGGGTTCGATCCTCGGCCACCGATGCACTCCTTTAACTCCCTCCCTAAGCCAGTAATAAAGCTGGTAAAGAGGAAAAGGTTGGGCTAAGTGAGGCTAGCAACCCCAACATCCTGTAAAAAGTGGACACTGCTACAGAAACTTCAAGCCTCTAGCTTGAAGGTGCCTTATGTTCCACTGGGAACGTAAAGGAATAAAATTTTTAAAAAATAAAATAAAAATAATCGCGGAAAAATTCCCAGTCACAACGTGTGTTCTAGACGTTTCACTAGGCACATAGACTTTCAACGTCATATGGAACTTTTCTTTTTTAACAAATCTGTTCTGCTTTTTATAAAAACTTAATTTTCTGATTCCCTCTCTCGCTGCCTTCATATTTGTGTACTGTCCTCTATTGTATAGATCCAGAACTAGAAGATTTTGCAGTTCAACCATCCAATATTCATTTAACTATCTGTGAACAAATTGTCCAACTGGCTAAACAGATTGATATACAAGTGCATAGAAATTCACGGAAAACAGCCAATGAAAATTGGTTTGCTAAAGCAGCTAAAGATGCTAATATCCTATTGGATGATGATGATGATAATTCAGGTGGTGATGACGATGGCGAAAGAGGGGGATACAGTGAGAAGTAAGTTAACATTTTGTTATCACATATTTTACATGATTATTGTAACTCACTACTAGGGAAGTGGAGTGGTTCGAAGGTAGTTCTTTGGAAATCTGGGCTTTTTCTTCGTGTATTGGATGGACTAGTCAGTCAAACGTTTTATGTGTAGGTGGTTGTATCCTGCAGTCTAAACAGTGGGGGGATATAAGTGTGTAATGGGTTTCGAACTCAGGACACTTCAGCTTAACTCAATGGGCTACATTTTCGCTAGCTCAATGACGATCTCTGACTGACTGATTAACTAAATTTCAGTGTAGAACTCTGCACAAAAGTGCTCTGGAGTTCAAGTTGTCGCGCAGATGTGGGGAAAGAAGAAATTCAGATGAAATATAATGAGCGCAGAAATGTGCGGAAGAAAGTTTGAGCACATAAAGAATTTTTTTCTTTTTTTATTTCTTCACGTTCCCAGTGGAACATAAGGCCCTTCAAGCTAGAGGCTTGAAGTTTCAGTAGCAGTGGTGGTGGTGGGGTTGCTAGTCTCACTTGGCCCAACCTTTTTCCTCTTTACCAGCTTTATTACTGGCTTAGCGGGGTAAAGGAATGCGTTAGCGGCAGGGGATCGAACTCCGAACCACCTTTGACATGGCTGGCTAGCATTCTACCACTGTGCCACCAACGCACTACATGAAGAATAATGAGAATAAAATAGATCTACGAGGTTACAAAGATTAAATGCATCTAAGCTGCCACACTAAGAACAGTTTTGAGCGGTATCATTGATAGTCTGTCTTGATGACCTTCCCTATGTGGCTGGCTGGCTGGCTCAAACCAGCTGTCAAAAACTTCATGAACCGATTCCAGGCGTGTTGGTTTGAGCAAGTCTTATGTTAGGTCGTTGAGTAAAGCGGTGTGTCGGTATCTGTAACATGTGTTTCCGGTTCATCTCATTCGCAACTGTTTTACAAACCGATCGATTAACTTGCTCTAACACTCTACATCTAAACTCAATGTTACTCACTATTATTATTGTTATTATTATACCACTTAACTTGGGAGAAATATTAATTTCTACGACTTTTTAGTTGAGTGGTTTAGGCCTGAAACCCCTTAGGACCCATGATTTCATGTGTGGTCGATGATGGCATATTCATTTGAACAGTCATTCTTTGATGTTCTACTAATGCTGAGGAAAGTTAGTTAAAGCCAGGCACTATCATAGTTTATCTGTCTAATTGAATGAGAAGAAGCATCTTGAATTCTACAGTTGTACTGTCACTTCGGGTTTTCCAGTTGATTAATTGAACCGAAGTGCTCGGCCTCAGGTTGACATGTCAGTTCCTTGTGCGGATGTTTCGACGGATGATGTCTGATTATTAAACCTGAGGTAAATTGGTGATGGATGGTAACAATAACAGTGGAATCCAGCCAAGATGTGCACTTCGTCGTATTTTGGACTCGTCAGCTAGTAGATCCACTTGCATGCCCCAGTCAGTATGTGATGGTCTTCTGTCTGAGGCTCGAACCTAGAACGAAATGCACCTCCTGGTTGGATTCCACTGCTAGTGTCACGCTCCACATATTAACTGAAGATATGTTTAATAAAATATAGATGCTCAAAATTGTACCCGACTTTCTTAATTGTAATAGTAGTAGTAGTGTGGTGACAGCGATTTACATCGATGTTACGTCCCGAGTCGGGGTCATGAGAAAAAACAATAACAAAGCTTAACTAATCTTGAGGGATTCACCAACCAATCATAGCAGACTTAATGTGTGCAAATGCGATTCGCAGATATATGGCTTAAATTTCTAAGAAACGGTCACAAAGAGATAACAAAATAACCTTCAGCAAGAAAACAACCAATCAGAAGAGATTACTTCTCTGTTAACAATACGTTAATAATAATGCGCATAAGAATCTATAAACACCTCTTGATTTTCTCAATAAACGATCTGTTGCCTGGCGCCCTTTTCTTCTGTCGTTACAGTAGTAATAATTTGCTTTATTCCAAAACAGTACTAATGGTACAGTGAGGAATTTTCAGCATTTGGTACAATATTGCATCTAATTTTATCGAATAACATTAAACATAAACATTGTAACCACTGCCAGGGTTCGAACCCCAGACCTTCTGGTTACAAGGTCAGCAAGCTCGTTGACCATTAAGCCACTAGGACTTGATTCACTGGCCAACCAATGAATTCTAACTTCTGCCAATTCATGCACAACATAGCGCGACCACTTTGCAATGTCTTCTTCGATGAGTTACTGCCTCATCTTCAACCTGCTGCACCCTACTGGTAACGGCTTCCTACTAGAACCCCAGATGCTCACTAGCGACTGGCCATGGGGTCCTAGTAGAAAGCCGTGACCAATAGGTTGCAGCTGGTTGAAGAAGAGGCAGTAACTCATCGAAGAAGACATTGCAGACTTGTGGTCGCGCTATGTTGTGCATGAATTGGCAGAAGTTAGACTACTTTTAACAGTCTGTATATATCTGAGTAGGAATTAATTAATTAATTCGTACAACGTTTTCCTCTTCTTATTTGCCTACTTTTTTCATCTTCTCTATAGGAAAAAGTCAAAAAAGAAGAATTCAGATGATACTAAGCCATTGAAATTACAGCTACGTCAGGTAAATCAATGGGGAGTTATTATTTCTTTGCATTTTTCTCTTTTTTATGTTTTCCCAACAACCATGTACATAATTTCAAAGTTATTATTATTATTAGTATTCCCTTGGATTCCGAGTGGAACATAGGGCTTCAACAACACACCTCCACTCTGTTCTATTTTTTTCTGTTCTCTTCAACTGGCTAGCCACACGATTGCCCATAATCTCTCATCTCCTCCATGTCATCCTCGCACCGACACTCCACTCGTTACTTCCCATTGGGATTCCACTCGAGTAATGGCCTGGTTAACGTGCGATGTCACTCGACGGCATCTTCAGTGGCATATGCGCCCGATCCATCCATCTCCATCTTCTCCTACATATTTTTTAGGGCAGTTGGTTCTTGGTTGGTTTGTTCCCAGTCAGCCAGCCAGAGTTTCTTGTTGCTAATTCTTTCTGGCCGGGGTCAGCTGACCATTTGATCTTCAGTATGGAGCCAGCCAGCCAGCGAAGTGGACAGCTGTTGATAAAAGTCTGCAACAGGCTGTTGGAAATCCTTTCCGTTACACCTATTGCAAATTTCTGACCCGTATAGAAGCAGTGATTGACTGACTGGCTGACTTGACATTTGTGTTGGAAATCCGATTCTTGTTCTTTATGTTTTGAGGCGGAGTGAAGTAGAAGATTTCCAGACTGGTTTCAGGTTGATGAAGGCATATCTTGCCTTTCTGATTCTGGCTGGCTGGTTTTCACATCTTCATCCGTGCCCTCCGCTTGGTGTTGAAACTATACTTCCTATTATTATTTCAGTGAAGCAAACACTACGTTGTGCTGATTTGGTTGGTAGTGGCTAGCAGTGGTATGCATAATGCGCGTTTCATCCTCTTTTGGACTGCTCTTCAGCTGTGTTTGTGTGATTGCATCTCCAGTGTGTAATGCTGTTCCCATTGCTGGGAAGCTGTTGGTTCTTATTTACTGAAATTATTTTGTATATTACTAACTTGCTTTGATATCCTCATCAGTTCCGTCCGTCTGTAGTTGAAACGATGCTTCCCAGGTAGGTAAAGGAGGTTGCTTCTTTCAGCATAAATGGGAGAAATCTGAAAGAAGCAACCTCCTTCACCCACCTACCTATCTGGGAAGCATCGTTTCAACTACAGGCGGACGGAACTGATGAGGATATCATCAAAGCGAGGATCGGGAAAGCAAGGCAAGCTTTCATTACTCTCAAGTCTGTGTGGAGGTCAACAGCACTCCTCAGCATGAAAAGGAAAATAAGATCCGGATTTTCAACTCGAATGTGAAGTCAGTGCTACTCACTAAACGGATCAGAGACTTGGCGCGTCATGAAGAGCACCTCAAATAAACTACAGACCTTCATCAACAGCTGTCTTCGCTGAACACTACCCAAATCAGATGGCCGGCCAGAAAAGATCACCAACAGGGATCTCCGCAAATGGACCAACCCATCAGGAACCAATTGTGCAACAAACATGCAGGAAGAAATGGAGGTGGATTGGATTGGACATACTCTGAGTGACATCACACGACAGGCCATTGCTCGAGTGGAACCCGAATGGGAAGCGGCGCGTTGGTTGTCAGTGCGAGGGTGGGGTGACATGGAGGAGGGGGTCATGTGAAGAGGAGATGAAAGCATGTGGGCAGACGTGGAGCCAGGTGAAAACGTTGTCAGAGAACCCTGGAAGCAATGGAGACGTTTGGCTGAAGCCGTATGTTCCTCTAGGAACTAGAGGAAACAATAATAATAATAATAATAATTACTAACTTGTGCTATCGTCTGAAGAAGACATATCCTCCTACTCGCTTCCCGAAAGCTTCCACCTAGCATGGAATGCTTCATCAATAAGCCCTCATTACTTCACTGGATATCGAACTGAGGACCTTCATGTAATGAAATGAGCCTGTTGGCCATTCAACCGCTGGGATATTATTATTGAATGGTTGATTGACTTTGAATGGACTCAAAATTCTCACTCTCTATTGACGACGTCATTTCGGCTCAATGAGGAGAATATTACCACTCGCTGAGATTCAGGTATATATCCTGATAATGAGTCCAGTGTGGGGCGAAGCTCTCACCCTAGATGCTACACCTACTATTCATCTTTCAACCAAATAACACAAAGTTGACCTTAAGGCATCATCTCATCATTCCTACCATGATCCAACATATCAGTAGACACCGAACATTGTGTTTCAATAAAATCAATCCATGAATAATCGGGAAAATCATTTTACGCCCCCTAATGCTTTAACAGTGCCGAGATGTCTTGATCTCATTCCCTTTGAAGCGTTTGATTGGATCTAGTATAAGAGTTCAAAGGATTTCTTAATGAATAGATCTTAGTGTCTTGAGTTTTATGAGATGTTCTTTTACTGGTGTATTAAAAAGACACCTACCTACTTTATTCCTTTGCTAGCCAAGGCTGGATAAGGCTTTCGAGCGCATTTTTCTAGTGGGCGCATGATACAGCGAATGTTTTCAATAGCAACTTGTCCCCTGAAAGATTCGGCCACTGCTTCTGTCGAATCTAGAATTTGAAGGTGATACTCGGGTAGGAATTCTCCGAGTATGGCTTTTAAGATCTCTTTCAGGAAAGCGTATTTCTATGCTGGCCTACGAATAACACATTCTTGCAAGAAACTAATTGGCCAAAATGTGAATAATGGATCTGTGGCAAAGTTAAACTTTAAGCACCACTAACTACCAATCAGCGAACGACCTTCAACGAGCCAATCACATGAAAGAGGGAATTTTGATTAAGGAAAACGTATATTTATGGGGAAAAAAAGCATGAAAACTGCATAAAACTGTTACATAGGGTATCTTTCTCTAACATGTGACAGAAACATCTCCCAGTTTAGCATAGGAGTGTCAATAGAAAAGTTACACCACATTCTGTACATATATTCATCCAAATGACTATAAATGACATCCTTTTTGGGATCCGTTTATAGCCCTAACCCTGTTTTTTAATCTTCCCCGAAATCCTTCTATAGAATTCGTGTATATGTCCACAAAACCACTAGAATGGTTCACTCTGTGATGAATATATTCAAGGGATGACAGCGAGTTATAACCTTCTCACTCATTCACGTGTGCGACGACACCTTCTCCGTCTAACAGCGAAGTAATTCTCTCCATTCTGAGCATGTCTCTGCAGTGCTGGTACCATTGAACTGTTGACACGAGGCTATTTTCAGTTTCAGCAGCTGCGCCTCTCACAGGCTGTTTTAAAACCCAGTAGTTACAAGTATACAAAATCTGGGTTAGGGAGAGATGTGACCTAGCAAAAATGTTCCTATGAAATATTAAAATCATCAGCTTACCTTCCCTGATACTAACTCGTCTCAAGTAAATTGCACAACGATGGACATATCCATCAATCGACCTGCTAAAACTTTTTAAACTCATAACACCTCCACATGAACAAATCCTCTCCTACCTAAGCAACCCTAAATCCAGGCATTTGATACGAATTAAGCGGAATACAACCTTGAACTCACGTGCATGCACCTCATTGGACCATTCGAGGTCATTCGCTGATTGGTAGTTAGTGGTGCTTAAAGTTTAACTTGGCCGGATCTGTCTTATAGTTCGTTTATATTGATGATATAGTACTATCACCCATAGTAGCCAATCCTATGCGCCTCTTAGTTGATCCTGAACAACCAATCATGTTAAAGGAATCTCAAAACTCGTATAATGAGAAAGTTTCACAGATCTATACAGAACTAGAAGACCAGATCAAGAAGAAACTATGTAAGGAATATTCACGTGGCATTCACGATTTCTGATGTTATGATTAGGTGATTTTAAGGTCATGTTGAGAAAGTTCTTCAGCCAGTCTTGAGGTGTGCTGGCTGCTATAGTTCCACTTTTCACCTTTTGATGAGTGACCATGGATTAATATCAGTTAAGGAACCATTGAAAGGTACCAGGGAGTACTGGACAGCTTGGAACTCATCGACTGTACACACCCACCTCCAAAGTTCGAAGCGAGGACCTTCTGGTTAAAAGGCAGGTTCGTAGGCCATTCATTAATCATTCAGGAGTCGGGTCACAGTGACTTAATCCGTCTACGAGTTTACCTTATAACTCGGAGATGCTGGGTTCGTACCTTGCCGATGGCTGGCTGACGAAACAGCCAGCTGTCCAGTACTCCCTGGTGGTAGTTTTCAATCTTCCTCTTTGATTGTTATTATTCTTCCCTTGGGTTCCTAGTGGGACATAAGGCTTCAACTGCACGTCTCCACTTGCTTCTGTCTTCTGCTGTACTTTGCACCTGCATCCATGTTAATCCATACTGTTTCAACTCCTCTTCACACGATCTCCTCCATGTCACCCTTGGACGTCCCACTTATCGCTTCCCTTTCGGGTTCCACTCGAGCATTGGCCTGACGTGCGATGTCACCCAGCGGCCTCCTCAGGGAGTGTCCAATCCATCTCCACTTTCTCCTGCATATTTGTTGAGCGATTGGTTCTTGTTTTGTTTGTTCCCATAGTCTCTTGTTGGTGATGTTTTCCGGCCATCTGATCGTGAGTATAGAACGAAAACAGTTGTTGATATAGGTCTGCAGCCTGTTGGAAATATTCTTGGTGACCCGCCAAGTTTCTGATCCGTATAGAAGAACTGACTTGACGTTTGTATTGAAAATCCGAATTTTGTTGTTGTTGATGCTGAGTGACGAAGATTTCCAGATTGGTTTCAGGTTGATGAATGTGTTTCTCGCCTTCCCGATTCTCGTCTCGATTTGACATCCTCGTCCGTTCCTCCTGCCTGTAGTTGAGACAATGCTCCCTAGATAAGCGAAGTGAATGAAGTGACCTCTTTCAAATCCCTCCCGTTTATGGTTCTTCATGTCGGTCCAGGATATCCCTTTCTTCTCGTTTCCCACTGTCTGACGCATAATCCAGTCCACCGCAATTAGGAATATCATTGGTGATAATAAACACCCTTGTCTGACTCCTGTGTTTACTCCAAACGCCACGCTGAGTTTTCCGTTGTGGATCACTTGACATGTGCCGTTGTCGTACAGCTGTTGAATAAGGTTAATGAATATTTGAGGTACGCCGTAGTACTCGAGTAGTTTCCAAATTACTTCGCGGTCAACGCTGTCGAAGGTCAATCCTCCTCTAACTTATATCAATCCGTGATCAGACTTGGAACAAATCACATCCTCGAAGACATTGACTCTTGAGAATAACTTTCTGTTGGAACAACCATTTTTAACGCACACATTCTTCAATTTTTATTTGTTTGTTTTTTTTTGTTTATTCCAGCTGATTAATGCTTCTCGAGAGAAATTGTTGAAAAACACTAACGGACCAATGCAGCATGTCTATGGAAAACTTCAAACTCTATCCAAAGTGAAATTATTGAAAGAAGTCTGTGTATAACCCAGCTAGCTAATTGACTTTTATTCTATTCCAGAATGTATTGCCTTTGTAAATATTGTCATAAATATACTCGAGTGTGTTTAGACTGGTATCAAGTCCGACTTCGTAAAGTTCATCATTTATTACAGATCATAGATCCATCCATCGAATCATTGAAGTTAGATGGGTGTTGACTGCTTGATTCCAGTAGGGTTTCAATGGCGTTAGCAATTCCATATTAGTTTGTTTATGAGATATATCACACACCTTCATAGTGATGAAACAGTATTATTGTCTACTGGATGACAAATTTTCGAACACAATTTACTTAGTGTTCATAATCATATCGTCACCTATATACCATCACACACAACTTTGGAACTTGAGTTTTATAGTTTTCTTTGTTCTCTCTTATTTTTCGTCATGGGGGTAGTAGAATTTTCCAGATATCGGGGTGGACAGGTGTTGAATCATTCCTATTACACGTATTCTCTTCAGTTGATTCGATATACAAAGCTTCCGTTATCAGTCTCTCCTTCGATTCACCCTGTTACATTAGATTTTAAAACTGTCTGTCATCTTATCCCATCATCCAATTGTATATTTGGGTGTGTGTAATTGCATCTAGCGAGTGGTATAGCTGAACTATTTTCTAAATTTCTTATCTTATTCTGGTCAACTAATCTAGATTTTGCTGCTAAGTCTTTATGCTCGGCTAGTCTGACTGCCCTGTTCTACTAGTTTGATCAATGTATTTGATCTGACAATCATTCCAGGCAGGGTATTAGATAAACTAAATTCTTTTGTTTTAACGGCTCCACAGAATCGGTACTTTAACCGACAAAGCTTGTTTCTATTTGAGTTTGTGGGTGATTGAATGCCAGCCACTTTTATTCCTGCCTGCATTGTTGAGAATTCTCGGCCGTAAGGTTTCCGAGGTTCCTTCTTTGAATGGAATTACTACTGATGATTTAGATTCCTTATTGTTGGTGTTTTCATTATCTTGCGCATGTTTGACATGCATGTTGTCATTAATATTATTATTACATTTCCCTACATACTTTCTGATTAATTTATCAGGGTAATTATTAAGTTTCAAAGCTTCTCTTTTTATATGTCTCATTTCCTGTCTTAGATTTTCTTTGATACTACTTAGTTTCTGTGCTCTATTGTCACCTAAACATTTCCCCAAGCCTATTTGCACTGACATAGGGTGGGATGATAGGAAGTCCAAATATCTGTTTGAATGTGTGCAGGTTTCCTGTAAACACTAGTGTTTAACTTCCCATCTTCTTTCCTTTTTACGCTACGTGCAATCTAACATTGGAAGTTCCCCTTCCTGACTTTCCAATTCATAAGTGAATTGATGAATTGCCTCCACCTTTGAGTTAATGTGTTCGAAAAATATATCTATATCCTGTGTTCTAAGTACAGTGAATGTGTCATCTACATACCTCCACCATACCTTTTGGGTGGGGTTGAACGTTTCAATCGCTACGTTTTCCCAACTATCCATGAATATATCTGCCGAATCAACTGCAAACACGTGTAATAGGGATGATTCAACACCTGTCCAGCCAGATATCTGGAAAATTCTACTACCCCAACGACGACAAATAGGAGAGAACAAGGAAAACTATAAAACTCAAGTTTCGAAGTCGTGTGATTATAATTGATATGTTTCTCTGTCTGTTTTCAACTTAGAACTTTGCACTGATGTGCAGCATGTCAAGTCGCCACATTCCCTCCATGTAGCGCACAAAGCAAGAAAAGAAAGTAGAGCAAATGCAAAATGCAGGCAGTAGACAGGGATATGAGACAAATGGAATGGTAATAACGAAGAATAACATAGTTTCATTGAGTGTTATAAGTCACAAAAAGTGGATGCGTCTGCGCCATTGAGAACGAGGATTGTCTCCAGCCATTGGTGTTTACCTTCTCGAGGACCCCAACTAGTCACTCAGGTAGTCTACACCTTCCTACGTGGCTTAAACTAACTTTAGTGGATTTCATTGATTGATGAAGTCATGTTTTGGTTTGACCACTGGGTCTTTTCCAACCTGTTTCATCTTTTGTCAGCTAGCATTTCCCGTCGAGGAAGGCGATGGTTAGGCGTGCACGCGTAACCTAACCATCTCAGTCGATGTAGCTTCACAACCTCGTTGATTGATTTTCCCTTCTTACCTAGCACTTGACCGACGCTTAACCTCAGTATTGCTTACCTTATTATACCATTTCACACGGGAGATAGAACGCAGGCACCTATGATCAAAGGCAGCCAGCTGGCATTTTCATGTCTTCCACTCTCAATGGCCAGGTCTCACAGCCATAAAGGAGGACGGAGCAGACTGCTGAGCACTAGACACACCCTTTAGTTGATAGTCAGTCGGATTTCACGTCTACTAAGCCAGAGGCGGTGTAAATTGGGATATGCGAAACTAGGCCTCTGTATCCGTGCTGAGATTTCGTCAGCGATCAACCCGTTGGCGTTGAGGCTGATGCAACTTCCCAAATAAGTGAAGGAATTGGTCAACACGCTCTGTCACTTCACTCTTGCCTATTTCTAAGCTAGGAGTGAGTCAATGTAGTTCAGTCCAGTCCTGTAGCATGCATGATCTTACATTTGGCTGGAGCGAATCGCATGCCAAACATTCGAAGATTGCTGCTCCTCAAGGTGTTCAGAAGACTCTGCTCTATTCTGTCAGCGTCTTCACCTAGGAGGCGGGACTATATCATCTGCATATTCTAAGTCAACGAGATTATTTCCTGGCGGTAACAAGTCAATACTTTGAGTCTCTGAAGTTAGTTGGGCTTAATTCCATTAGAATTTATATGATTATGAACAATACATTTTGTTCGAAACGTCATCATCACTGCGTGTGTGATATATCTGATAAACGAACTAATATGGAATGACTTACTACCACAGTGCCTAAGTTTTACACAAGTATTAGCAGTTGTTGGCTTGTTTACTAATCGGTATGTTGAAATATTGATAACAATTTTGTTAAATATTAAGCACACACAAACGATCTTGTCGTCACCGCAAGCTTTTGATGATGCTGTATCCCTTGTTACAGTGTGGTCTAGTGTGTGTGTGTGTGTGCATTGCCAGAAACTATGGCAACTGTGAAGTATATTCTGACATGAGTTGTATTGATTTTCTTGAAAGTAGACAGGAAATTAAGTGTATCATTCCTTTATTCACTCTGTGTACATCAGATTGCTAGTGTAGTGTAGTGTAGTGTGACATATAGGGAAATGATTTCTCCTGACTCAGCTGAGATTTCATGTGAAACTCAATCGAAAATATGAGTAAATTACTATTGTGAAATAGAATTCCAAATGTATCTCACAATGCCAGCATGCAGAGACTAGCGTATACATTTCAAATGGTTGGAGTTGAATAGATTTTCTTATGATTCGACTAGACTCTGGGTTATCTGAGTGAAGTTCGTTAAATAGACGACTGTGTATGTGTGTGTGTGTCAGAGTGGTTATATTCCTTTAAGCCTGTCTAATGATAAGGCATGATTTGAATTATATGGACGTGGAGACGAAGAATTTGACGTCTCTGTGATTGTGATGATGATATTGATAGTTCTAGTGAGGGGTAACGTCAAGATGATTCACCTGGAGACGACATAATATGTAGTTATTGTGTGTTTTGCTGGATTTAGCATAAGTGTAATCGCTATGGATGAGAGTGATTGTCGATAGTAATGTTAGCGAGTTAGTTAGTAATGCAGATAGTGCTGTTTCACCTGCCAGTAGCGAATAATATCAGGCCAGAGTAAAATTTCTCGTGCCAACAATAATATTAATGAGAGGGTTCAATGGACTCGAGGTGACCTCCCAAGAAAACGAGTAAATAACATGCACACAAGAAGAAAGGAGCTCCAAAAACAATTAGGAGAATATCTTCATTCACAAAAAAAAAGAAACGCAGTACAAAGAAATCAGGCCTGATACATAGATATATTATATCTGCGTTGCGCAGTTAATGTTTGACACGACGATGATGTTTTCTGTTGGTGAGATTGTTGGTACTGAGATGTGGATTGTGTGGGAGTGAGCGGATCGATTGACCGAATGTGTGTGATGGTTGGATGGAGCGACACAATGAGGCTGGATGAGAAGTGAGGGCCAATGAACTGGTGGATAGGTGTGCAGAAGCGCGAAACCGTGTGACTGGCCGGCTGTCTGTCTGGCGACATAACTAGCTAGCTAGCTAGCTAGCTAGCTAGGTGAGAGCTGTCTAGCTGGCATGCTTTGCTTTATTACATGATAATACTCCGTCCGAAGACAGAGCTGAAAAAAATGAGATAAGACTCATTGTATTGTGCCTCCCCACGGAAATCTTTAGTAAAAGGCGAAAGATTTATCCGCAAATGAGGAGACACCAGAGTTATGGAGGTAGCCGTGCACATCGAAACCATACGGCCAAAAAGACGACACCATACATTCATTCAAACATTTGCACAATAACACTCATCTCACACTGAAAGCATAACAAGCCCACTCACCAACACATCTTAATCAAACCAACCTGAATCGCACACAATATTCTCATCAAGACTTTGCATTATCCTATAGTCACGCACACACTCTAATCCAGCCATCATATATCACGACAACATGCACAACGGTCGCTCATATACTCCATTTGAGTAGTACAGAGAATGTGGCAGAAATTAATCGCCGTCATCGCCACTCACCAAAGCTTACTTACACGAAGGTGACATGACGGCGGGCATCAATGCATGCTTGCTCGCTCCCTTGCCTCTGTGTGAGCATCAATCACACACGAACGCAGGCACACACGCACACACACACACACACAAGGAGGCTGTCCGAGTAAATGCAGTATATTTCTACGAGGAAATGTGAAGCGATACAATGAACTAGACAGTGGGACGATCAGCCAGCCAGTCAGTCTATCAGCCAATACAGTTAGAATGTACACAGTAGTGTACAGATTTCAAATGACTGGAATGGAAGACATTGATTGTGTTGCAGTGAAGTTAGGCGAATAGACGAACTGAGAGGGAGATAGATAGATAGACAGACAGACAGACAGAGAGAGAGAGAGAGACAGACGGAC